GGGCAGTTCATCCCCCAATTCTCAAGCCTGGCGGCCACCACCTCGTAGCACCAGGGGAGCCTCTCATCGGCCTTCCACCCCTCGGCCAGGAACTTCTCGACGGCCTCATCGGTAGCCCTCACGACGGCGGCCTCGGCCTCAGCTTTCGCCTTGACGGCCTCCTCGCTCTTGCGCCTCTCGGCCTCAAGCGCCCTGTGGGACTCCTCGAGCTCCCTTTTGCTCTCCTCGAGCTTGGCCAGGGCATCGTCCCTGGCTGCGGCGGCTTCATCAGCCCTTGCCTGCAACGCCTTGGCATCCTCCCGGAGCCGATCAAGGCAAGCTACCGCCTCGTCGGCCGAGGCAGCCTTCTGCTCCAGCTCTTTCAAGCGAGCTATCTCCCAATACTGCCTCTTATGACTTTCCATAAGCATAAAGGCACTCTGCAGAAGGAAAACAAAGGTCAGGCAAAAGACTCTACACAGACAAAGAGAAAGACAAAAACATAAGGACAGTAACTTACTTGGACGAGGAGGTCCATGCCGTCCTCGTAAATCTTCGCGTCCCCGAGCTTCTTCAAGTAAGCCTGATCTTTGGCCGGCATGGCCTGGGCCAGGACGACGTGGCCAGGGACGAGATCATTAAACACGCCCCCGCCGACGGGGTATTCTACCACCTTCTGGTAGGTGGCACCGGCAATCTCCTTGCCGGCCCTCTTCGTCTGTGGTTCCTGGACGAGAGGAAGCAAAGGGGCAGCATTGTCAGCAGCAGTAAGGTCCACGACGGGGCCACCATCGTCCACACTGGGGACAGTCAGAGTACCGGCCTCAGTAGCCGGAGAAGGGGAAGGAGCCCTCTTCGTCTTCTTCGAGACGCTCACGCCGGCCTCAGTTAACTTTTTCTGGCCGTCAGCGGCCGGCCTTTTCTTCTTCGATGGAGCAGGCTTTGGGGCCGCATCAGCAGTAGCCCCGCTCCCACCGGCCGCGGCACGTCTGGCCGCCTCGGCCACCTTAGCAGCAATCTCCTCGGCCGCTTTGGCCTTGGCAATAGCCATCATGGAACGCCAGTCCATGACAAAATCTACACAGGAAAAACACAAACAGATTAGTAAGGCAAATGACAAAACATAAAGACAGAAAGCCGAAGAAAGAATTACCATCGGCCTCAGCAGGAATGCCCAAATCCGGTCCGTCGGCCTCCTCAAAGGTGGTGGTCATCCTCGGCCAGAGTTGGAGGTCATCCTCCTTGTCACCATAGACATAGTACCTCAAGAAGCCGAGGGCGGCCATCTTGTATTCAGTAATGTAATCCTTCACGCTCCTCGGCCCCCCTTCCAAGAAAGCCTCCACCTGAGCGTCCAAAATAGAGCTCTTCGGCGGGTCATGCAGGTTAAACCTCCCGGTGTGGCCGAGGGAGGGAAACTCGGTGCCACTCTCACCAATGGACACAAACACGAACTTGCTCTTCCACCCATGAATGGACGTAGGCAAATCCGTGAAACTCCTCTTCTTCGGCAGCTGCTGAAGAGTAGCATAGGCCGCACAGTTCTTGTGACTTCCTCGGCCGATCTGGTACAGATTCATGAATAGTGCCGTCGTCGGCCTGTAACCCAACTCCTCACACCGGAGCAAAAACCCCACCATCAAGGAGTAACTGTTCGGCGTCAGCAAGGCCGGAGGAAGCCCTACCATGTCCAGGTACTCGGTAATGAAAGGATGAAGGGGGAACCTCAACCCCTTGGCAAAACTCATCGGGTATACTCCAAAGTACCCCGGTGGTGGAAGAAGAACATGGTCCGTCGGCTTGGGTGCCCTAACCCGCCCAAACGGCCCCACGTACATCTGGGCAACAAGATAGTCGGCCGCACTGCTTTCCGGCTTGATCAGGAAGATGTTGGTGAGATCCAACTGGGAGGTGCCCGGCCCACTCTTCGGCCTCCTCACTCTCTTCGGCTTAGCTGCTCCCTTCACAGCAGACACCGGCCTCGGGCACGGAATGACAGCAGAAGTGGACGCCCCGTCCACCACTCGGGACGCACCTACGTCCTCACCCTTTGAAGAGGAGGCGGACTCCTCGTCCTCGCCTTCCTCGTCCACTGGCTCTCCGGATTTGTATGGACTTAAACGCTCCATCTCCTCCTCAAACTCCTCGAGCACCTCGTAGTCAAGCGACCTCGTGGAGGGCTGGTCGTCATAGGGGTAGTAGTCGTCGTTCAAGCTCTTCATAACTACTACTACGGGCCTAAGGAGACTAACTTAAGATCTAATGGTGTTCAAACGCCTAACACTAGATCAACAACCTAGGAAGCAAAGTATGAAAAGTGAGGAAGATCGCGATGAACACTAACCTTGAACAACGAAGAACGCGAAGAACAGGCTTGGGAGTTTATCTCTCTAGAAAATCGGTCAGCACTTCGACAAATTCAGAATGCAAATACGTTTTCTCGTCGGAAGGGGAGGGGTATTTATAGAACCCCTCACCCAACGGTCACTACACGTGGCACCCCCCCAATGGCCACACCAACGGCCACCAATGGGGGACCACCACGTCACCAACGGGCCAAACTCAATAACAGCCCACTGGGAAGACGGACTCTACGGCCTACACACGCTCACCGGCTATACAAAGGCCAGCAAGCGCCCACAACGTCCCACTTGCTCGCCAAGATCACAACTGCCAAACAATAAGGAGACGGCAACGGCCAGGAACGTAACGGCCACAAGATCAAAGGACCCAAGAGCCCACAAGCCATCGGCTCCTCGTCATGATCTTTGATGATAACTCTCTACAAGCGATCTGCGCACAAGGGTTCTCCCACAGGGTTACCTTGGCCAGAAAATCGCCATGAGAGTTGGATTCAGGGGGACTACGGGGATGCCGCTTCGGCCAGGGACTTAAGCAACTCCTTCACCCCTCACACTCCTCGGCCTGAAGCAGTGGGGGACTGGGGGACTACACCGGCCTCAGCAAAACAAAAAGGAAAACACTACAAAGAACATGAAAGTGACCACAAAGCATGGCCACATCATCCATACAGCACAACGGAACTTCATCGGCCAAAGGCCCATAACGTCATTAAGCAACGGCCAACAAGCCACTAGAGGCAAGGACACTCATCGTCCTCCGCCAATAAGTAATCTTGACGGGCCCTTCGGCCAAAAACACGAAGGCCAACCAGCAACGGCCAAAAGGAGTGCGCAAACACCCTTATCGGCCACCCAAAGGAAAGGACGCCATCGTCCTCAAAGCAAGGAATAACTCCAGTGGCCTCATCGGCCCAAACACAAACTTCAACCATCATCGCCCAAGCAAAACGTGCCTTCAACGGCCACCATTGAAAGAAGGACACTCATCGTCCCAAAACGAAGGCATCAAGTAAACAACGGCCTCCCTGTCCACAACGAGGAACAGGTAACGGCCAAGGACAACAAAGCACAGGGATCTACTCTCCTTCACTTCGCCTACGTCTCAGCTTAGAGAGTGGGGGACTCCTGATGGAGTATATGGGTCTGAGCCCCCGGACCCACATACTCGGAAGAACAGAAAGCACAAGACAACAGAGTGGCGCCCTCGTCGGCCAAGACGCCCCCGTCGGCCGAAAAGGGGCCAACTCGGATTATGGTCCTGAGTCCAAGGAACCCGGGTGCCCTCGTCGGCCGTGCCCTCGTCGGCCACGCCCTCGTCGGCCAAGAAGACCTCCCAGAATCGGATTTTACACTTACTCATTTGTACAGCCCATTAGTGGCTTTGTATTCGGCCCAGTAGCGGCCCAGTTGTAAATGGGCCTCCCAAGCCCAAGACTTGGGAGCCCAGCCCTAATTTTCTCTATAAATACTCCCCTTGGGAGTAGTTATAGGGTTACAAAATCATTCTATTGAAGCATATTATTGCACTTCTCTCTCTAGCTCTCACTTCTCTCTAGAATCTAGGAGTTAATACTCCATCACTTAACTTTGATTTATTCAATTTCTAGGAACTTTTGGACAAAAATGCCCTATACAATGCCGTTGTCATAGTGGTCGGAGATAAGGAGCAACCACACATTACTACTTGTTTATGAGCAGTGGCGGACCCACTAAGGGTCCTAAGGGTCCCGAGACCCCGTGCACCTCCGAAAAAAAACCTATATATATTATATATATTATTTAAAATTAATGTTTCAATGTATATTTACACACAAAGCCATTTTAAAACCACAAGAATGTAGTAGCCGAACGGGAGCAGGCGCGGATGCCAAGTGTTTATGTTGCGGGAGGTTCTGTGTTTGAATCTTGTTGGTGTTTTTTCGGCGTTTTTTTTGTCTTGAACAGAAGGCACGGCCCAGCCCATGTTTTATTTTGGAACTTAGGCCCAAAACAAAAGACCCAGACACCCAGCCCCCCCTCTTTTCTTTTCAAGCTCGATTGCTCGAAGCACGGCAAAATCCCCCAAGGCCCCAACTGCGAGTCTGCGACGATTTGCGAACCCTCCCTAAGCTCCCTCCACGGCTCCACCTGTGATCGGCCGACGACCACCGGCGAGGCGGCGAACACACCCCTCCCTCCACGCCACCTGATTACGTGAATGTACTCTTCTCTTCTCTTCTCCATTATTGGCGTTTCTCAAGTTTTTGGGTCCGATTTTCTTTATGCTCAAAACTTAGGGATTTCAATTTCTAAGTTTTTTTAACTGCTTTTCTTTGGTACTTTGCATATCTTTTTTTAAATGTTAGATTAAATTAATAAATTCATGTATTTATAAATGTTATTTTTACTTTCATACAATTTAGGATGAAAAGATATTTTGATGTTGTACCCAAATTTAAAGAAACTCAAAGTATCGGGAGTAGTTCAGATGTTAATTCCAATGATTCGTCATTAATAATTGAAGAATTGGATCAAGCAATTGCTGAAAGTGAAGCTAATATGGCTTATAATCTACCTGAACAACCTGAGGATTTTGAATCTTTGGAAGCGGATCTTGGATTAAGAAAAAGAATTGCTTTTCACCCTAATGTTCAAGACGAGGTACGTCGTAGTTACATTAAAAAAGGACCGTTTCAACCTCGGGATCATGATTTTCGTTTTAAGGTAATTGAAGCCAAAAAGCGTAGATTTGTTTAAAATAGGGTCCCCTTGGCTCCGACTTTCTGGATCCGCCAGAAAAGCAGTGCTTTAATAATGTATACATAAGATATATCTCATACAATTAAACGATCTTAAAGTTCTTAACATATCCTAACTGGCGATACACACAAAAATTTAACAATTCTCAACAACTGGTCCACTTGACTACTCCCTATGGTCGGATAATTTGTCTCTCATCCAAGATTCTCCTTCCCATATACCTGCATTATTGTTACATGTAAAAATTAGTGTCCACTTCAATCGGAGTAAAGAAGAGATATAAATTACATGGCTCAAATATTAATCATACATGTATAATTACCGTTTGCAAGTAATAAAACTAAATGTGTATTTTAGGATGTTTGGTCATGTATAACATAAATTGACATTTACGATGTTTTTACTTGGATCGTAATTTTTCGGTCTAGTCGATATGGTATAATCTATTTAAGTTTGGTTTGATCTGAACTGATCATGTATGACTGATCTTTGTGTGTTTTACGAATGTTAAAGACCAATCTAATACAGTGTGGTCTGTTTTAGTCTGATATGTTTAAGTCTGGTATGATATGTTCTAGTTTGGTCTATTCTATGACTCAAACCAGTCCAAGTAAAAACGTCGTTACTCGATCTTACGCTCAGTTTAGACTAAGTTGAAGTATTTCTCGAAACGGTAAAATAAGAATCAACAAACTACAATATAAAGATATGGAATTACTCCTCCTGTTAAGTTGATTTTTAAGATGAAATCCTGAGTTTTAAAATGGTGTCAAAGTCAAACTGATTCATTACCATGATGTGAGCACAAATGATGATGGTTTTGAAAATATTATGACAAATGAGTGAAAAAAATGACAATGCAGACAATATATATAGTTATCGCTACCAAAATATACAGGATTGATAGGGATTCTTGGCAGGGATTCCTCAAAATTGACAGGGATTTCGGCACGATATGCCAAATTTGTGCCAAAAATAGTTTGGCACGAGTTATTTGACATGAAATTATCGATAAATCCATGTCAAATTTGCGTAAATCTCATTTTTTGTGTATTGAGTTATTCCTCCTATATATTTAGTTAATATTTTAAATCTTAATTGCAAGAAGAATTTAGGGAAAAGGTCACTCTACATCTAAAATAAAAATACATAATTTGTTTAATTGTTTATGGACGCACCTTCCAAGCATCATAACAGTAGCTTGAGGATTGGTTCCAGGAGAATTAACAAAAGTGGAACCGTCAACGACCCGCAGGGCTTTGACTCCAATAACCTTATAGTCTTTATCAACAACTTTATGAACTTGGCAGCCGCCATGGTAGTGCCATATAGTCATGACAGTGTCGATACAAAACTGCTCCAGTGACACAGTGGCGCTGACGTGTTTTGGTCTAAGGTTCAAGGGCAGGGTCAACATGGCACTGATCAGAGCCTGTGGAGAGGTCAGAGGGTAACGAAACCGGGAGAAAGACCTTGACAGGATGACCCTGGATATGACCTCTAGCCCTTCAACGCACCTGCGTAGGTCTCGTGGGTCTTTGAAGTAGTTGAACGTCACCCTTGGGTTCTCGGAAGGGTTCCTGCTTTCGAGCTCGAGATAGCCCGTAGAGAATGGGCCCGCTACCTGTTAAAATATTTAGTTAATTAATATTCTAATACGGGTTATGTAATTGAGGTTATATATTATTATTTGAGTTTATATAATCCTGAAATTGATTTAATGAATATGTTGAACATATGTTTGAATTTGTCGAGTAGAATTTTCCAACCCTCTCATTTACCTTTATACATGTATGCTTATCTCCTATGGAAAAACTATGAACACAATACTACGTATAATTTAGAGATTTTTACTTATCAAGAATCTCAATGTATCAATATATAATTACGTATAATTACATGATGCCAATATTGAAATTTAATCTTACACTACCTTCTCCAGTATTATGCCAGCATCGACGCTAGCTTGTATGTATCCGGTTATGGTTGCTCTTGTTGAAGCTGTGTTTAAGCTCGTGTTGGTCGACGTAGGGATAGTCATAGGCTTACTGCTCTGGATCAGAATAGAAAACACTTCATTATGTGTAGAGTAACAAGGGGAAAAAATTACTAAAATATAAAAGAAGTGCATATATAAAATCATCATTATTTTCTTCCTAAGATAAGACCTAAGATAAGACTCACGGCTCTCAATTAAGGAAGTTGTATGTAATTAATATAGTAAAATTACTCCTATTTCGAAAACAAAACATATACAAGTACTTCTATTAATGGAATTATGGGCATGTGAAAGGTGTGAATGACTCCGGGTTTGATCACATGTGGGTAGGCCGGACCCTGGCCAAGTGTTAACGGTTCAACTGAATAGAGCCCTATCTCAAGGAGGGATCCCAATTCTTGTTATTGTATTAAAAGCTAGGGAAAATAAAATTTTACTCTATATTAGTATTGTGTTAGCCCTTTGGAGAGGGAGTAGACTTTTCATAAATAGAAAATACGGTGTTCTGGAAATCAATGTGTGAAAGATTCTGAAGAATGAGGAAGCCAGATCATCTTAATGTATTTTAGAGAGTTTAATTTGAGCCTTTAAATAATCAACCTTTTCCCATTTCTTTTAGTCTTTAAGGGGGTGTTTGGATTTGATTCTTAAAACTGCTTCTGCTCCTTCAGGGAGCAGAAGCATAAGTTGGAGTGTTTGAGTAAAAGTGCAGAAGTGATTCTGGTGCTCTAATTTACTTTTAAAATCAGTTTTTTTAGAAGCTGTGGGTGACCAGCTTCTGAAAACTGATTCTGATTCTGCTTCTACTTTGAAAAATCAAAACTTACTAATCGAACTAGAAATCAGGAGCTTAGGATTGAGGCCTCTTCTGATTTCTTCAACTATTCATGTTACCTTCTTTTAATTTCTGAAGGCACTCAAGACCTCAAGGCCTTAGCCAGAGGGTAGGGGGGTGTCGCATCACTGTTGCAGAGGGACCTTCTCAAGTCCTTTTCAGTTCGCTTCCCCTGCCTTTTTACTTTGTTTCATTCTTCTTTATTTTTAGGTGAGAATTCTGATACCCATTTAAAAAATGGGATATTGTATCTATCATTCTTTTAATTGGTGCAAACATGTCTATTATTTTTAATTTAGATTTAAATAATTCAACTACAACATTCTGATTAGTCTTATGGACAAATGTATGATATCTTATAGGTATCATAGAATCTACCTTATTTTTATTGTTATACAAAAAATGACAGTATGAGTTAAACTATATTTTAGTACTATTATGAATTGAAATACAGAGTATATAAATTACTACATATTAAGTTTTATATTTTAGAACCACCTACTTAGTTTTGAACACGGCCTCAAATATGTCAAGACCTGCCTAATGCATTAAGTAGCAAGTGTTCACACTATTTCATGTAGATGAAGCACTATTTTCCATGAAGAAAAAACTTGATATACTTGCAAGAATGTCACTATGTTTGATTATGTAATTTAACGCATCGTTGTCAAATATAGAATCATTTATTTATATCATAATGTCACTATAGTTCATCCGAAAATAGTCTATCTGTGCTTTAATACAGAAGTAAGGTTGTGAACATCTTATTCCTCCTTACCCCACCGTAGATGGGGAACCTTTGCGGCATTGGGGTAATGATGATGATGATTATTATATTGAAGAATACGTACAAGCTCTAAGGCAATATACTACTTGTATTGCAAAATTAAATCTGTATATATATTCAACTTAAATCACTCTTAATTTTTGAATTTATGTATATTATCTCTTATTAAATTTGAATTTCTTTTTTCTAAAGACTATAGTGTAATTCTAATAAATTTTAATATTTAACAATAATATGAGCATTAATAGAGTTCATATGACTATCACCATTCAAACAAAAAACATAAATTGAAACGAGAACTAATGGGCGGGGGAAGGGGCGGGGAGTAGTACATTGTAAAAACTGTTTAATTTCTAAAACTAGTTCAATTAAAAACATTCTTAATATTTAGGCTTTGTAGTTAAAATAAGAGCCCGTTTGGTAACACGAAAATTGACTGATTCGGCTGATTCTGCTGAAATTTATGAAGTCCTGGCTGAAGTGACTGCATTGATTGATTCTGCTGATTTAAGAAAACATTATTTTTAAAATATATTTTATTAATAAAATAAAGAAAAATTTATATATAAAAATAGCTAATATAGCCACAAAAGTAAGGAAAAATTGACAAGAATAATCTCACCTTTCACCGGTCTTCTCATAATAATCACACCTTTAAATAATCCCAAAATAATCCCACCTTTACACCTCATCTTCTTTCATTGGACCCTGACCAAGTTTTTTTACCTTTTTTAAAAATCTTATATAAATAATCTCACATTTATAAGGATATGATTAAAAAGTGAAAGGTGAGATTATTTATATAATTTTCAAAGAAAGGGTGAAAAACATGGTCAGAGTCCAATGAAAGAAGATGAGCTGAGGTGTAAAGGTGAGATTATTTTGGGATTATTTAAAGGTGAGATTATTATGAGAAGACCAGTGAAAGGTGAGATTATTCTTGTCAATTTTTCCAAAAAGTAATTACAACCTTACTTTTTCTTATTATTACACAATCTAATGCACGAAAATAAAAGTTACGTGTTTGGTGAAAAAGTTAGCTGATAAACTTGATAAGCCGAAAGTTGCTTCTCAATTTTTATGAAGATTTAGGTTTAATGGGCTAACCTGATTAGCCAGTCTTTCAAAGTCAGCAGCCATTCTGTGTATCCAAGCCAGCTCGAGGGACCCACTGGCTGCTTCTATGTAGCTGTCAAAACTTGTGATCCCAACCACCTGAATCAGTGAAACCTCAACGGGCTGTGGAGAAGGAATAAACACCGCATTCATTGGATTATCGGACATACCCTGCCCAACCATGGGCTGGTTTAGAATCACCTCAATGTTAAGGGCTTTTAGTTGTTGGGCCGACCCAATTCCGCTTAGCATCAACATTTGTGGGCTTCCCAATGCACCGGCCGACAGGATTACCTCGTTATTGGGCCCATTGTTCAGGTAAGCCAGGTGCCGGTTCCCGCCGGAGTCTCTGTAGAACACCGCATAAGCTCTAGGATCTCCTGCATCGTTATCAACATTTCCCCTTCTCAATAAAAATTAAAAAGTACTTCGTATTTTATTTTCTCAAAGGCATGGATACTTTTTAACTTTGTGCTTCTTTGATTTGCAATTTTGTTATAAAGTTTTTAAAAAATTCTAGTTATACACATAATTTGTACACACTTGGCACACTTTCATGTGTACAGAGACATTTCGTTTAGGAAAAAAAAACAATTGTTTGTGCATACATGAGATGTGTACACCCCCTAGTTACTTGTGTAAGCAGACAAAGAGCAGGGCCGTCTGTAATATACACATAATTTGTACACACTTGGCACACTTTCATGTGTACAGAGACATTTCGTTTAGAAAATGTAAGAATTGTCCGTGTAGACAAGAGCAGGGCCGTCTCTAATATATTTGATGCCCCAGACAAAGAATGACTAATGAGATTACATAATACTTAAAATTAATAATAAAACTAAATATGTATGAAGTAGTTAGAAAATTATAACACCATTTTTTACTAAATGCAAAAGGCAATATTTCACTTGGAGTTGATATAAAGTACTACCTCCGTCCCAAAATGAACTTCACATTCACTATTCACATGTTCAACTTAAATTACTCTTAACCTTATGTTTTATATATCAAATTTTTATCAAATTTATATTTTTTTTATCAGCCTTTGTAGCAGTTTTAATGTATTTTCTCAATATGTAAATTTTATTTACTAAAAGTAATCTGAGTATGAACAGGGATCGGGTTGCTTTATCGTTGGTCAAGCATCGTAACCTGAAATGAGAAGTTAATTTTGGGACGGAGGTAGTATGTGAAAATGTAAGTTCTTCTAAGAAATAAATAAAACTATAAAAGTTTTCTTTTCTTTTCTTTTCTTAAGTTTTCTATTTGAAACCATTGACTCTTGTTTCTGTTTCATCGTCATAATAAATACTACAGTAGTACAAAATAATAATTTAGCACTAATTATTTATATTACAAATTAGTAAATACTACTCCTATTTTAAAAGAACAAGTTTCAAACTAAATTTGATAAACGAATAACTTCAAGAAAATTATAAAACACATACGTAGTAGGAAGTATAACACAAAGTTTTAATTTTTATACAATTAGTGAATAATAATTAATAAGTTGGATGTAGAAATGTAAAATTAGATCATTTACGTTTGAAAAAAATGAATAACTCATTTATGAATTGGAGAAGAAATCAATGAATAAAACAGGGAGTATTAAATATGGAGTACACTGAATTACCCAATGCAAATCTGAAATCTGAATGGTGGATTGGGGGATAACCTTGAATTGCGAACAACATATTGATGGATAACCTTGAATTACCGATAAGACCTTTGCCTTAGGATTTTTTAATTTTAAAATCCAACTGAACAAGCAGTTTATGGACTATGAATAGACTATTAAATTATTCCTAATTTTATACCGGCCATCCGGTCGGCGACGCAGGATTAATTGTTTTGTTACTCCTGTAATTTGGACTCCCACTTGGCCGCCGCTATGTGTATATGGAAGCCGGAATGTCTGATGGTCTATCTACTAATAACCTTAATATTAATATATATAATAATAATTTCTTTTATAAAATGTGCCCCCTAAACATTGGGTGCCCTAGGCCGGGTGCCTGGCCCCCAAAGCCGGCACAGGACAAGAGAGAGTGGCCGGTGTGTACAAATTTTGTGTACAAATTTTGTGTATACTAAGAATGGTTGTAAATTTTTTGTAGTACATGTAATGGTGCGTCTAAATCGGACCCCCACGGCCCCACCTATCCTTGCTTTTATGTCCAGCACGTTTTGTACATAACATATAAACCAAATTGCTATAAGTAGAACTAAAAGAACAAATTGTACAAGTAAGATTACATTCCATTAGCATATACTCCGTATCACGGAGTACAAATTAGCCAATGAGAATCCCACCTACTTATTGAAAAATGATGGTTAAATGCCTTTCCTTGACTTAAAATGTATTCGTCTTATTCTTTTGGTAAATTAATTGGGAGATGGTGAATATACCATTGTCAAGGTACATCACTAATACCGTAAAAAAGGTACCTCACTAATAAGTAGAGATACTCAAATACTTTACCTATACTCTATGTACTCTATGTGATATGATTAATTCATACAGTATATATCATTATTTCAAAGTTTACTTATAATTTATTTAAAAACATAAATTGGACTTTATGGATAAATTAAAGCATACTACTTTAGAGATTTTAATTTAAATGAAATTAAATAAATACTTATATATTAGTATGTCTTTAGTCATTGTAAATATAGTGTATGTTGTTTTCATCCTTGCAATTTTTTTATTCGTCAATGATATGTGCTCAAGTTTGACCACAAATTACATTTTTTAGTATGTACTACCTCCATCCCGCTATGATGGTCTCATTTTACTTTATCGGTCTGTCCCACTAAGATCGTCTCATACTAAATTTGGTAAAGTTTGTGTGCCTTTAATTCATTCTTACTTTATTCTTACTTTATCAATTTAATATCAACCACATAAACCATTTTTTTTTATTTGTTTATCACTTCCTATTGTCTCATTGTTAGCGGGGCGGAAGGAGTAATTCTTTCAAATATGACAATGTTCTTTGTTTAAAACACTTTTTAAAAGGTACAAAAGTTATATGTTTCACATAAATGATAAATACAACAACTTAAATTATTGGCCAAATTTTATTATTATTAATCAAGAAAAGTCGAATTGTTCAAATTATACGAGAGAGGGTGCAATATAATACTCCGTATGGAATATCGCGCCCAACTTTCTTCTTCCGCGAAAAAGTATAATCATTTAAAAGTTTTTTTACTCGGTCAATCGAGTTGTATGAGTTGATTTAGAATTGTTTATATATAAAATTGTCAATACGTTTAATTTATGGGATGCTGTTTATAAAAAGAACAGACACGTATAATGATGCAGCCAGACGGGATCGATGTAAATGATGTTTATGGGGAGGATGTGTAAAAAGAAAGAGTATGTTGAAACATTTGGTAAAAAGAAGGGATAAGGGTCAGATACGGGCCATACGGCCTCGAACTTTCAAAAAAAAATCAAATAAGGTCATATATATATGATGTTCTGTACGTTCGATGCCATTTGGGGTGGTTTCCGGTTAAATTTTTCGATGAAATTTTTTTAGCATATCATTCATTAAGTCTAGTTTACTCATATCAAATTTGAACTAAAAATTCAATCGGGAAAGCATTGAAATGAATTCTTCAAAATAACTGCGCAGTTAAAAGCGCAGTTATCTTCAAGAATTTATTTGAATGTCTTCTCGATTGAATTTTTAGTTCAAATTTGGTATGACTAAACTAGACTTAATGAATTAGATTCTCAAAAAAATTCATCAAAAAATTCCATCGGGAACCACCCCAAATGGCGTCGACCGGACAGATCATCTTATATAAGACCTTATTTGACTTTTTTTGTAAGTTCGAGGCCCTATGTGACCCTTATCCCTAAAAAAATGATGTAAATGAAGTTTATTATAACTTTTGAAGCTAATGAATTCAAAGAGGTATGGTAATGCCAACCGTAAGAGTCTAAGGACTTATTTGACTAGGTGATTTTGAGATAAGAAAAGGAGATGGATGATTGCTTTCTGTGTTATTAATTGATCTTATCTTGATAATTTTAGAGTACAAAACACTATATGTAGATCTTTAAATTAATCAATCCTACAAAATCTCTATTTGTTAATGTACTTTAGTACTAATTAAGTAGCAAACACATTTTAATTATAATAGATTTATGTGGATCACGTTTTAATGTTACAAAAGATTTTGTTTTTAAGTATATACTCCGTATAATATAGTGAAATCAACTATATGGGATCTTAATACCAATATACCATACATTTAGCACTTTTATTACAAATTGCATATGACTTAATTCGTAAGTCTCCGTTAATTAATACCTTCATCCTTTTAGTAAAATGGGTTTTGGTTTCCAAATGAAAGAAACATTTCAAAAGTTTTATATAAATATCAAACTCGAGGATTGAGTTTTTTTGGCGAGATGTGAATGTCTTTGGTATGGGTAAACTTGTGGCACAGGATTTGTGGCGCTTTATTAATAAACGCCTTTGGGATAGAAGAGGTGCAGTGCTTAAATATAAAAAGCCTTTAAAATCGAATATTTTTAAAACGTGCGGCGCTTATGTAATAAGTGCAACAAATTATTTTCTGCGACACTGGATTGTACGCGATAAGCGCAAATTAATAAGCGCTTAAACGCGCCGCACATGGGTAAAAAAAGCACCTAAAAACGTATTCTCCAATGGTGATTCCACAAGTTAGCTCATACTCCGTAAAACAAATCAAAAGTACGATGTATATGTATAAATTTTCAGTATTGGCGTACGCTATAGTACATTCACTACAAAAAAAAGTTACAAAAAAATTACGGGATTGGCACGAGTTTGGCAAGGACTTATCGATTTTTCGTGCCAAATAGCTCGTGCCAAAGTGTTTTTGGCACGGTTTTGACATATTTGTGCCAAATTCTCCTGTCAAATCCCTGTCAAAATCTCTGTCAATCCCATATTTTTCTTGTAGTGATTGTATGCTACCTTTATTCTTAAAATAATCACATGTTCTACTTTAAGTATACTGTATTTATTAAAGTCTTAAAAACTTATTTTTAAAAATATTTTGAAGTTTGTCCCATGGTAAATATTCAAAGTATGAAGAATTAATTATATTATTATGCATATATCAAACGTGAAAAAGTAGATGGGTTTATCTAAAAATGTGGTAGTACTTTGTACCGAGTTTATTTTTATTCAAAACACGAAAAAAAGATAAAGATACCTTCTTTCTTGAAGAAAATTTTGTGCACGGTTGCATACAAATAGACGGTGATTTTGGTGGGATCAGCGTATTCCAACAAGTCGGCGGCGGTGTGTCTATACCCATTTTCGTCAAAGATTGTGCCGCCAACCTTAGTTCCGTACAGATGTTCGTACGTAAACCCATTGTACGGCAACACTCCGGCTTCTAGAAGCCCATCTCTCACCGCTGACTGCCACGCCAGCATAGGCGGCTGAAACGCCACTTTCCTCTCCACCCATTCGTACGACTCATTGACCAGTGCCTGATCCCACCCCACGTTTTCCACGTATCCTCGACTCGCCCGAGTGTAGAACCCGGCATTCAAGGCGGAGCCGCCGCCCAAAACGCGGGCCCGGTGGTTGAAAACGCCGTCCGTGGAGACGAATAGCTGGGAGGCGGAGTCTGGAGATGTGTCGGCGAGGGTTCTGGCGAAGCCGTCTATGTTGGTTATGTTAGGGTTTCCGTACGGCAAACCGCCTCTCTCTAACAACAAAACTTTCGCCCCCTCCGATAGAGTCGCCGCTAATGCACACCCGGCGGTTCCGCCGCCGATGACTATGTAATCAAAGTACTCCGTCGTCGGAGCTAATGTTGCATTCTTGGCAAACGAGGTATAAGGAGCTGCAGGCACATAACCACGAACAAGCATACTTTGGGTTAGTTTGGATGAGAGCGTGTTTGGCAAAAACATTGTTTTCTCTACACTAGAAAGGCTGCTAATTGCAGCGTGTAGGGCTAAAATGTCGAAAACCAAACAACCCCTTTAATTCCATATTTTACTATTAATTGCCCTAATTGTTGGATTAATTCCACTTTTGGTCCTATGAATTTTAATATGTCAATTCCACATTTAGTCGATGTCTTGCATTTTGTCCACTTTTTGTACTTGACTAATGTTTATTATTCATCTGTGGTCTTTTTCTGGTGATTTTAACAATCGGAAATATTGATGGAAGGATCATATATGAACGAAAACACAATACTCAAGTACCAATAGAGATCAAAGTTAAAGATGTGGACCAATTGTGGAATTGGTGTGATACTCGTGGGACCAAACGTGGAATTTATTCCTAATTATTTACAAACAACTTTTGGTGCATGCTATATAGAATTATTCAAATTCATTTGTGAACTTGCTATTGTCTTTTCAATAATTGTTCAAAATAGGAGCAGAATATGGGGAAAAAAGTTTAGAAATAGAGCTAATTATGTGAAAGTATTTTTCAAAAAACATACACTTATTACTTCTGGTATATTTAAGTGGGGAAACCATTAGCTGGCACATAAGGTTATTTGAACCATTCTTAAGATATTTGTATAGGATTAAAACTCATGAAAAATCTCAAAATATTACCAGACATATATGATCATGCACATGTGGAAAAATAAGAAAAAGAAATGTTAGATGATATGGATACAATTAGTCATATGTCATCATATTAGGAAAATACATATAAGTCATATTTTGGGAAACATATAAGGTTTTAGTAATAAATAGAGTAATTTCCTCAAAAGAAAATCAGTAAAAGTTTGCTCATTTAGAAATAACTCATGTTTTGAAGAAAAAAATAGCGTTCTTATAAGAATAAATGTGTTATGTTATATATAGTCTACGAAAAAAATTGATAAAAGCTTTTATGTAAAATGACATTCAAAAAGCTTTTATGTTCCTACATGCAATCAATGAAGTAATCAAGTAAAATCTTAACATGGAGATCAGAGTTGCAAGAGATGTGAGAATTGATCAATTTATGAACTTTTCTACGCACCTTGCTCGGAAACACAAGAAGAAATGAAGAAGAGAAATGCAAAGAGAGACGAACTCCGAATCATCTCAATAATTATTTTCATAAACTAAGCATGAAAACAAAGGTTGCAAATTGTATTCCTGAGGGGTAGTTTTTATGAGCCGAATATAGTGAAGATGGATTGTTGGTGAATTATTATTGTGACCTAACCTAACCAAACCAAACTTATCTAGCTAGCCTCATTTATACAACAACAAAAAAATATGAGTTAGCCGAACAACATTAATTTTCCGAAAGAGGTGCAAAGATTTATTTTCATAAGGGAAAACTATCAAATAGGTCCTCGAACTTTCATAAAAAAGTCAATTAAGTCATTCTATAGGAGACTCTGTCCGGTCGTCGCGATTTGGGGTGGTTCCCGGTGGAATTTTTTGATGAATTTTTTTGAGCATCTTATTCATTAAGTCTAGTTTACTCATACCAAATTTCAGATAAAAGTTTAATCGGGAGCGCATTCAAATTAATTCGAGAATGCAGAAATGCGCATTTATCTTCAAGAATAAATTTGAATGTGATCCCGATTGAGGTTTTAGCTGAAATTTGGTATGATTAAACTAGACTTGGTGAATAAGATGCTCAAAAAATTTCATCAAAAAATTTCACCGGTAACTTCCCCAAATCGCGACGTCCGGACAGAACCTCCTAGAGAAGGACTTAATTGACATTTTTATGAAAGTTCGAGAAACTATTTGACAGTTTTTCCTTTTCATAATCATTATTAATAATACGTAGTAGTAGAAAAATAAAGAGTGGGAGTTGAGGATTCAAACGTTAAATGATTATTAAACAACTTAACAATAAGTAGAGTATAGTTAAGGTTCCACGAAAAGATGCTCAAAGTAAATTAAATTAGTCTTTAAGTAGTTGGAAATTTTGATAGAAACGGCCACTCTTTAATTACTCCTGCTTTAATTGTAATTTCCAACTCTCACCTGTCTCCAAACATACAATACACATCATACGGTCATACCTATACTAGTTCATGCGTTACATTTAATTAAATGACAAAAATCTTGAGATGGATCTTACCGGACCGGACCGGGTGGGTTGACCCAGAACCCGACCACCTGACCAAGAATTCGGTCCGGCTGAATATCAACCGTTAATTTGGTCAAAACCGGAAATGCACGATAACCCAGGTCACGCACACCCAGGAGGATACGGACAGGGCTAGAGTTTGCGAAATGCTAGAGTTTTTTCAACTTTTCCGTGTCCAGTTCAAACAAAGTAAGTCTTGGGCCAGGTTTGGTGTACAAAAGATGTACGCAAAATGTGTACATTGCCTTTGAACACAGGCAATTGGGTATCAAACTTTGCCTTTTTTTAAATGAATTGTCTTCGATACAGGCAACTAGGGAGTTTTGTGTACAGTTTATGTACAACTAGGGTGCCTAGCGGACTTCATGACGGAGTGCATCGCAAGATCAGTCACGGACGAGGAACCCTCGGCACCCTCGGACGATTGGTGGGCCCTCTACATCGATGGCTCCTCCGCGACCAAAGCATGTGGAGGAGGGGTGGTCCTCATCTCACCCGAAGGCTTCTGGGCCTATTATGCAGTCCGCTTCTCTTTCAAAGTCTCTAACAATGAAGTCGAATACGAGGCCCTCCTCTGTGGCCTTCGGCTGGCAGCTAACATGAAGGCCCGACAGATTCACGTCAAGTGAGACTCCAAGTTAGTCGTCGGCCAAATCTCCGGGGAGTACGAAGCCAAGGAAGGAAGAATGAAGCAGTACAAAGAGGCGGCCAAGGAGTTGCTTAAGGTATTTGAGGCACACTCTCTTACTCAAATACCGAGGGCTCAAAACTCTGAGACCGACATTTTATCAAAGCTCTCGGCAGAATCCCCTGAGCATATCTCAAAGATTGCCAAGATCGAGGAGCTCAGCCTCTCCAGCATACATGCTAGCCCCATCATGCACATACAACAAAGACAAGAAGACTGGATCTCAGACATTGTCGCCTTCATCACCACACGGCAACTGCCCGAGGATGAGGCCCGTGTCAAGCTGGCAAAGCTGAGAGCTCCCAGCTACACTATCGAGGACGGAAGGCTTTACAAAAGGTCATACAACGGGACATTACTTCGGTGCCTTCATCAAGACGAAGCCGAAGCGGCAATGGAGGAAGTGCACAGTGGCACTTGTTCAGCTCACCAGGGACCCTTCTCCATGTCCCGAAGGCTAATAATCCAGGGCTACTTTTGGCCTACGATGGCCTATCGTACCACCCCTCGGCGAGCAACAGGCGAGACACCCTTCTCCTTTTGCTACGGATTTGAAGCTAAGACCCCCACTGAGGTAACTCTTCCGACCCGAAGGGTCACACAATATGATCCAGAGGTCAACGACGCCAATATGGCCCTCGACCTTCACTTTATTTCAGAATGCCGAGAGCAAGCCTTCATACGTGCGGAAAACTACCAAAGGCAAGTGAAGAGTTACATTGACGCCAAAGTCCGCTCCCGGGGATTCCAAGTGGGGGATTATGTCCTCCGAAGAAGGGAAGCTAGCCAACCAACCGAGAGCGGAAAGATGGCACCAAAGTTCGAAGGCCCATACATCGTGGCGGCCATCATCAAACCAGGAACTTACAAACTAAAATTCCCCAATGGGACTGAGGTCCCTAGACACTGGAATGCACATCACTTAGTTAAATTTTATCAATAGCATTAGAGCGGCAAAGCCCTCATAACTAGTGAATGTATTATTTTACGGCCCAAGGCCTCCGATTTTGAAGAATGAAGGCATATTGAAGACACTAAGACCATGGAACAAGACTCTTACGAGTGGCCAAGCCCTCACATCAGCCCCTGGCCCAAGGCCTTATCTTGAACAAGAACCCTCGGCACCAAGTGTCGAGGGTAGGCAATACTATCACCTACAACAAGGAAGAAAATACCAACTGTCTTCAATGAAGACCCCTCGGCACCAAGTGCCGAGGGTATACACCTCAATCACCTACGACAAATGAGTAAAAACACCAAATGTTTTTTACAGAAGACCCTCGGTACCAAGTGTCGGGGGTCGTACACCGGAACAAACACCAAGTGTTGTTTCAAAAGTCGTACCCCTCGAGGACGCATATACCGAAGGCGCCACCTATCGGTGCCGGTAGCACGTAGTGCCCCCGGCCATTTGCAACCAGTGTGCAAATGAAAACCCTTCCCTGAAACGCTTTCCGCGTCACCACCCCAAGGGTATGACAGGCAGGTAATATGCCCATGATTCGACTTTCAAAAACAGAACGCTTTCCGCGCCATCACCTCAAGGGTATGACAGGCATCTAATATGCCCATGATTCGACTTCCAAATCGAAACGCTCCCCGCGCCACTACCCCAAGGGTGTGGCAGGCCACGGACCATGTCTGGCGCCGAGGGGACGACTTTCAAAACTGAGGCGCTCTCCGTGCCATCTCCTAAGGGGAGGCAGGCTACAGACCATGTCTTGTGCCCAGGAAACGACCCTCGATCCCCTCGGAACTCGGAAGGTTAACCCGAGGGGGGAGCTAATGGTGTATTCTGTTACCTCCCGATAGGCCAAGCCTTACCAAGAAACCAAGTTTCTTGAAGCCTTCCCTTCACTAACAAAAAAAGGGGGGGTGGTGAAGGGGAGTAGACTCAGCGAGAAATCAATGAGTACACCACTCCAACAAATTCACAGGAACATACCGAGGGCTCCCCACGGGAACACCTTCGGTACCTGAAAGCTCCTAATTACCAAAGATACTATTCAACAGACATCATCAACAAACGGCTAAGTCCACTCCTTGATTGCCTCCGGCTACATCAAAACCGAAGGCTCAAATCCTACAGAACGTGACAGGCTCACTCAACAACAACTCAAAACGTCCTTGAAGGCTATCATATGACAAAGCTATCAGATGTTGGCCAAATCCAAGCAAGAATCACCTTCGGCACCTCACTAGACGCCGAGGGGATACACCCAGGCATTGTCCGAGGGAGTCTGTCTTTTTATGCTGCACTTGAACTACAAAATTTCCTAAATAAACAATGTGGGGACATGACAACAGCCGAAGGCTTTTGTTGCCGCAGGCCAACCTTGCGAGACAAAGGAAATTGTTCTAGGCCCACAAAGTATGCAGCCGAAGGGTACTTAGAAAAATTTTCTAAGCCCTTAGTACTTTGCCCTCTGTCGAGTCACCGGTCAACCGAAGGTACACCTACGACAAGGCTCTCACATCTCACCCGAAGGCTCCTACCTCATACAACTACACTTAGAAATATTTTCTAAGTCCTAAATATTTTTTACCCTCGGTCAAATCTCCATGCAGCCAGAGGGGCCACGCGGTTGAAGGATTGGTGAAACTACACTTAGAAATATTTTCTAAGTCCTAAATATTTTGGGCCCTCGGTTATATATCCATGCAGCGAAGGGTGCCCACGTACCGAAGGCCAGACGGTATTCAAACACCTAGCAAATATTTTCTAAGTCCTAAGCGCCTTGCCTCCGGTTATCTCATGAAGGCTACACAGAACCAGAGGGAAGGAATTAGCCGGGGGCCAACAGATGAACAACACTTAGAAAAGATTTCTAAGTCCTGAACGTGTGGCCCTCGGTGAGACATTCAGATGACTAAATGGGCCTAGTAGCCGAGGGCTACGGTGTAACACCGACCCCGAGCATATTTACTTTTAGTAAATTATGTAATAAACCTTGAAGGATGATTTATGAATTTACGTAATTGTTAAATTTCATTATTTCTTTTACGTGAATAATAAATTGCATGTGGGGCCCACAGCAGGAACGGGGACCGCCCGATGATTCCCGAACCACATATTATATTCATCTTGGTCTAGATGATATGTATATGGTGGTGGATATTTTATTTGGGCCATAAGGAAGGCATGGAGTTGACCGGTTGGTCAAACGGGGCCCAATTACCGGTATCGACAATTTGACGGATAACAGTCCGAAGTGAGTTTCGGGGACTCCTAAATTAATGTTGGGGAATATACATCTATTCTAAAGGCCCATAATTATTTGGAAGGCGTAATATATTTTATTTGGTCCGATAAAATAAAATATGATTAAAACGGACCGAAAAATGCAACTTTCGGGACCGATTGTGCACTTCTGGACAAAAAGGGGTGACCTCCCACACAAGTGGGGG